TTAACTTCAGATCCGACCGTCGCCCCACTGCCAAAGTTACCTTCCAACATCGTTACTGTTGCACTTTATGCAGTCAAGTGTCCAGCTCCTCAGATGAGCGAGTGGTCGGCCCTAAAAAGGGCCTTTGGGATCGAAACGTGCAAAGCTGGAGCGGCGGCCTAGCCTCCGAAGCCGTACAGTGTGCGCCCCTGGCGCTTGAGCGCGTACACCACATCCATGGCTGTGACGGTCTTGCGCTTGGCGTGCTCGGTGTAGGTGACTGCGTCCCGAATCACGTTCTCCAGGAACACCTTCAGCACACCGCGGGTCTCCTCGTAAATGAGGCCAGAGATCCGCTTAACGCCGCCACGCCGAGCTAGACGCCGAATGGCAGGCTTGGTGATGCCCTGAATGTTGTCTCTCAGGACCTTGCGGTGGCGCTTAGCGCCCCCTTTGCCTAAGCCTTTTCCACCCTTTCCCCTGCCAGACATGACTGCTACAGCCTGAAAGACAGCTTCTGTCAGGGCAAGCACGGTCTTCCCCTGATATACAAGAGTATCGGACCAGATTGAAAACCGAAAGCGCGCCGGCGGGAAGCTTTCTCAATTGTCCCCGCCCTCTCGACATTTCGTCATTTCTTTTCTGTTTTCCTCTCCCTCCTCCTCCACTCTGCTCAGGTCCCTCCCACCCTCTTCCCCGCCCCCCGCGCCCCGCTACGCCATAGTCCCCGGGAGAATTCACATCCCAACCCAGGGCTTCCCGATTCTGCGGTGGCTTTGGCCTGTGTCTGGTCTGAGGACGCCCGAAAGGCACTGCACTGAGGCTAAGGGAAAGTTCTTCTGGAGGGAGCCTCAGGTAGAGCAAATGGAGGCCAGAGGCGGGCAGGAGCGCGCCAGCGCAGGATTTAATCCCGACGAGCGGATTCAGAGCCGTCCTTATATAAAGCCTCAGGAAGCGCCGTTCCGACGATGAGGCTAGCACGCGAGAGGCGACCTCAAGAGCGGCGGCGCCAGGGATCTGTGCGCCAAGGGAGGACGGGAGGGAGCAGGTTCGCCTTAATTCCTGACTCTAGGCTCTGTTTTGTTGGACCGAGCCACTCTATTTTAGCTCACGCAGGAGAATTCTGGCCCTGGGAAAATTGATCTCAGCATGCTGCCAAGCTTTCTCATGGAGGTCAGCGAATCCCAACACACTGTCGGTCAAAGCAGTGCTGGAAGAAACAAAACAGTTCTCCCTCGGTAGAACTGAGGGGGATTGGTCCAGGGCTCCCGCCGATACCAAAATCCTGGTTGCTCAAGTCTCTCATAGAAAATGGCGTAGTATTTGCACATAACTATGCACGTCCTCCCGTGTACTTTAAATGGTCTCTAAATTACTTTTCAACACCTAATCCAATGTAAATGCTATGTAAGTAATTGTTATACTGTTTTTATTTTTACTAGCTTATGTTGTATTTTTTTTTAAATTCATTTGTTTGATATTTCGATCTTGGGGAACCCGCGTATATGGAGGGCCTGCTACACAGAGAAAACTGAGGGATATTCTGTGCATCCGTTTCTACGGATCCTCTAAATCGGCCTTTGTTTTCAGCCAGGATTTAGTGCCCAACTGTGTCCTCTGGAGGCCCCACATGGAGCTAGCAAAGTTTGCTGAATCGGGTTTTGCAAGAGGACTATCTGCTCCATACTGAGAGTAATTACCACAAACTGCCCTATGAAATTGGTTGGGGTTCTTACTGTTAGCATGTTTATTACTTTATCAGGGCTCTCTGTAGGAGAGTCTGTGAGAAAATGCTCTAGTTTCTGCTGAAAGAATCGTGTTTTGTTGGGGTTTTTTCCCCCGAAAAATATTATTTTTAAAAACTCTTCTGTGCCCTGTTTAATCTCTCCCTTGGATCCACCTCCTATGTGCTCATAAATCGTAAATCTGTATTCAGACTTCTAGACTCGAAACACGTAGATCCACCTCGTGGTTCTTCAGTCATTTTAAGCTCAAAACTCAAAATCTCCCGAAATCAAAATGTTGACATTTTTAATCTCCAGGGTGTGACTCACGGGGGATGAGGGGAGCACTTCTCTCCCTCCCCGCATAAAGCTGGTTCTCCTGTCTGCTCATTGAACGGTTCCACTACCCATCACAGCATCTACATGCCTAAACCAACACCCCAGCATTGGCATCAGATATCTTCCTCTCCCTTGGCTGCTTCAGGACAGAGAAGAAACGTGCTTGCCCTTTTCTGACTCTTTAGTAACTCTCGCCGAATCTATCACATTATTTTACATCTCTTTACATCTTAGTACTCCCCCATCTTGGCTGTGTGTTCCTTACTGGCAGTGATTTTTGTTTATTCATTTTTGTAAACTGACACTTAGTTCAGTGTCCAATATAAGCTCAGTAATAGTTAATAAAAGGAAAAGTTCCTGCATCTGATTGCTTTTAAACACTGTTAGAAAAGACATAACCAAATTGCAGCTTGATAAAACCACCACAGAACAAGGCTGAGAGAAGTGGTGATTTCTGGTGTCAGTGGGCACAGGACCCTGGGCAGAATCAGAGATACGGGGTCTATTCAGTTCCCTTTTTAAGGGGATCAGGACATGCTACCTCCAAATGTGCCAGTTTCGACTTAAGAATTATTTTCAGCTGAAATAAACAGCTAAAATCCCTTACCTGTTTAATAGCAGATCCTCCTCGCAAATCTCAAATTTTTAACTCAGTTGTCATAAATCTTCTTCAGGACTAGAAGCAAATCTAATCTCAGAGATGAGAAGTAGTCATCACACCCAAATAGACATTGTCACAAGACTCGAATCTTCCATCTATTCTAAGGGACCATTTATCTTTTCAAAAGTCATTTGGTTTTCCATATGTCCTTTATTCCTCCTCCTTTTCCCCTGCTGTTAGGTAGATCCCAAATTCTAACCACCCCTTTGAGTTACTCATCTCAGAGTGCTCCTATGTATACACTTTTTTTTTTTTTTTTGATTCAGAGTCTTACTCTGTCACCCAGGCTGCAGTGCAGTGGTACAATCTCGGTTTAAACACCCAAGTCTGTGCTGTTTTGTTATAGTCCCTCTAGAAACTAATACAGGGTTCATGGTCTGCCAAAATCCCATTCCCTGCTCAGACCGACAATGGATGGTGGGATCCTTTGTGATACGTACCCTGTGAGTTAGAAGTAGCAACTAGAGCTGTTGAGGACAATACCTTTGCGCCCGGTACCTCATCCACTGAATTTTATTTTCAAAGATATAGTCTGAAACCCTCAGAGGGTGAGTGCCTTTCCAGTGTGTCAGAGCCATTAGCAGCTGGGCAGACCGCTGAGCATGTAGATTTCTAGGTCAAGGCCCTCTCCCCAAAGAATCATACTCCCTGGTTGAACTGAACCTAAATCAGGTTTTGAACTAGACAGATGCCAACCAACTTAAAATTCGAAAGACACCCAAGACCTGTCCATGGCCCTGGGATTTGAGGACAACCTGTGCATGTCATGGCTATGGCAGTTCAGGGGTCTCTGGCTTAGTGGGAATGTCTACGTCCTAACTTCACCCTTCTCACTCTTCCACCCCCATCTGCCCCTCCTATGACAATGGAGTGCTCATTCCCCAAATTCAGCAGCGTGAAAGAGAGAAAGGAACACTGGATAGTCCAAGACCTGGTCTTGGCTTGTGTGAGACAGTGGAGGCCTCACTACTTGGTCTTTTCTGGTTTACTGTCAAAAGGTTGAAGCTGGGGCCTTGACTGCCTCCTGTTCTCTGTTCCAGGGATGCTATACAATAGAAGTTTTGGGTCTTGACCATCGAAAGGTCCCATGAATTCTCCACTCAGCTCAGCTCAGCCCCCTGCTCTCACGTTGGGTGAGGAAATGATAGGCAGTGCGAACGGGCATATGCACACTCACTGAGGAAGTGCAGCCTGCCTGACCCAATCTCTCTCACCCAGCCTAGGCAGGACACTGTTTCCTTAACTATCAGCAGCTATCTTGGGGATTTCCCCACAGGGCCAGGGCAACAGAATCGGGTTCTCACTGTGACCATGGTCTGGAAGGACCATGAGGAATTCCCCAGTGCTGTCAGGGTTTCCCATACTGTCACAGACAGTTTAGTAACAGCTTTGACACCTTTTGGTAATAGGACAAAGTTAACACTCCTGCCACTATCCTGTGAAGGCCAAACTTCCTAGGCCCCATAGGAAACTTTTGGAATGTCTTCTTTGGGTTGAGAAACTGGGGCAAAGTAGAACCCAATTTTTTCACGTCAATATCAAAATGTAATCATTTCAGGTGCACAGAGTTCCGCACTTTCAGATTGGTCTTAAAGAAAAGAAAATCGGCCGGGCGCCGTGGCTCAAGCCTGTAATCCCAGCACTTTGGGAGGCCGAGACAGGCAGATCACGAGGTCAGGAGATCGAGACCTTCCTGGCTAACATGGTGAAACCCCGTCTCTACTAAAAAAATACAAAAAAACTAGCCGGGCGAGGTATTGGGCACCTGTAGTCCCAGCTACTCTGGAGGCTGAGG